AGTAATTATCCCTACTTTACAATCATCCCAAAACTATTTTTTAGGGAAAATTATCTGATTTAGTCAAAGTACAATATGGCATTTATGGAAAATAGGTACAGTATACATATACAGTGAAACCTCCATATAACTTACTTCTCTCTTCATATTATGCATTACATGGAGGTTTCACATCTAATAGACCCTTGCTGTAATGAACTTTCCTCTCCAAATAGTCCTTTAAATACATATAGGTCTCACTGTACCTTTTTTTTCTATTGCTATAACTGAATGTATATTAGTTCATTTAGTGCAAATTTTGAGATTTAATTAAGACAATACTAATATTACAAGAGTTTACCATACTTAACATAAAATCAACATTTCAATCCAAAACTTCCATTATTAACACTATGTAAATTAACCAATGACATCAACATAATATAAGTTGGAAATGTAAGTACATGTCGGAACACATGCTATGTGCATACCGTACTTACAGAACAATGTTTAAAATCCCACTGTATCATAGCTTAAGTCCTTATAGACATATAGAATCAGTTAATTTAAGACAAAAGAAGAAACAGAATGACAAAATACATACAGTACATGCAAGTAAAAAATTAGTCATCAGGTAAATAAAATACAGTACTGCAAATTTAATGTTTAACCTCGTTCATATCGGCGGGCGTTCGGGGCTCCACTGTACATTATTGTGTAATACAGTTTGTGAATTTTGGATTATATAAAAATTGGCCAGCAAACAGCTATGGTGCTTTAGAGGAATAATAATACAATACCTACAGTACACATTTCATCTTTTCTTGGATCAGGCACTAATTTTCACATTTCGGTGACACTGATGCATTGCTCTACAATAATGTACAGCTTCTTTATATGAGATTTAACCCATTCACTATGGGGATGCCACTTTTAATATTTTATTTTGCTAACACCAGACAATTTCATTCAGCTCAGAGAGGACCCTGTACACAAGGGGGTTAAAAGAACAATCATGAGGTCCAAAATACACAGGTCATTTAGGAAGAAATAACTAGGTAAGTATTTGTGCATTACATAATAAAGGTTCAGTTTGTTTGCATATACGTAGTGAAATCTCCATATAACGGACTTCTGTCCTCATATAATCCGTTAGATGGGGGTTTCACATTTAACGGACCCTTGATATAATGGACTCTCATCTCTATATACAGTAGTTTGTTAAACAGAGGTTTCACTGTACTGTATGCTGTTTATTATTTGACACATGTGAAGGTCAATGTATGTTTGTATTTGTTTACATTATTCCAAGGTTTCCACTGGCTCTCTACAAGTTAAACTCCTGGAGATGCTCTATATAACCAGCAATGAATCACATTTACAATATTCCCTTATATTATCTCAGGATTCTATAAAAACAACAATAATACTAATAATAAATAACAAAATGGCTATAAAATAAAATTAATGTAAAAGACTTTTTCTCTGGCTTTTAGAAAAATAGAAACTTTGCACCTGAAAATAACTATCCAATGGAAGCCTTGCTAGAGCTTAATATTTTACAGAAGATTGAGCAATTAATACTATGTACAGTACAGTTTACTTATAGGCACAAGAGCAAGTTATTTGCTGAGGGCTTGGCACATCCACCCCTCTTAGTTCAGGGGCATGATGCTAATACTGTATAGTGAAACCTCCACATAATGGACTTCTCTCCCCATATAATCCATTAAATGGGGGTTTCACATTTAACAGACCTGCAATATCTCTCTATATAGTTTGTTAGATGGAGGTTTTACATCTAACAGATCCTCGATATAATTGACTTTCCTCTCCATATAATCCGTCAAATAGAGGTTTTACTGTAACTCCTCCTTATTGTACAGTAAAACCTCTGATAACGACGGTTCAACTAACGAAGATTCATATCTAAGACCCTGGTTACTTTAGGACCCAATTCAATTTATGCCATTATTTTCTTCGTATTCACAACGAAATTACAAAAATTTTATTACATTTTTGTATAAATAATAACTAAATCTCGATATAATAAAACAAAACGCCTTGTGCACGGAGGTAGCAAGGCTTGTTAGTGGTAACGCCAGTATCACTAGTACAAACAATCGCAGCTGGCGAACCCTTTGTTTTCACGCATTTGAACCGGAAAAGGAGAAAAACTTTCTCAGGTTTCTTACAGCATTTTTGCATCCCTATTCAACAAGAGCAAGAGGGCAAGTGATGGTAGTGTTGCTTCAAAAGCTAATAGAAGGTGTACAAGCTTAGCTGAGAAACTAGACGCATCAAAACGATATGAAAAAGGTGAGAGGTCTGTGGATATTATATGGAGCAAGCAATGAACATATTTTCTGAGGTGAATCCATTAACAGAACAAAGCATTAAAATTTCAGATGTATAATGAGAAAAGAAAGCAGCTGTGCAAGGTTCTTTCGACAGCTTTATTATTCGAAGGCCTAAACCATCAACTTCAGTTACACCATCAAATTCAGCATCATAAGCAGCTTCAACAACAACTTCAGGTTCAGTAACAGTTTCAGGAACAGCTTTATGAAAAGCTACAGCCAGAGTTCAACCTGATGGCTTCGTCATCTGAGTAAAAACTTGCACAATATTCATTGGGTGTCCTTATGTTTTAGACTTGACCACCATTGGGGGAGTATTATTTTTGTTTTACATTTGTAAATATTATTTAAAACATACATGAACAGTAAATAGGTGTTGCTTTCATATTCATATGTAGAGAAATGACAATATGTTTTCACATGTACACACTTACTGCACATACGTTGGCTTTCCCAATCGTCTCGCTTTATTTCTTTAGCTACTTCTAGTGTTCCATTTATAAACATTAAATAACATTACTTAAAACATACATACAGGTATTCAATTTTTTTACATTAAGTTCACCTCAGCTACAACAAGGGTCATATTTTCTTCAGTTTCTTATGTAGAACTATCGTCACTCACGAAAACAATGCCGTCTTGTCTCCTCGTGTGTTTTAATATTCTACTTATTATTAATGAATTGTATTGTTCATTTCGCCATATAAAGATTATTCCAATCAAATACATATTCAGTAATAAACAATAATGAATCTTTTATACATATTTTCAAAAATATAAATGACGTTGTATCCTAAATGTGCACGTATATGTTGGCGTTCCCAATCCATCTCACTTTTTTTTTCTTTACCATTAGTGGTTAGTTACTTCTAATGTTCCATTTATTAACATTAAATAACATTACTTAAAACATAAATATATATTCATTTTTTTTACATTAATTTTACTACAGCTTCAACCAGGGTCTTATTTTCTTCATTTGCTCGTGTAGAACTATTGTCTCGGACTCCTGGCTGTAAACACAAATGAAAACAATGGCGTCCCATCTCCTCTTGTGTGACCATATTATTATTCATTTATATCGTATAAGGTGCATTCAGAAACATTATTTAAAGAATATAGTTTGTAATTTTCATTAATTGTATTGTTTTGGGGGAAAAGAGGGTAAAAAGCCACACAAAATATATTAAAAGGTCACACCTGGGAACGCATCTCATTATTGCTTTATTTTAATGGTAATTAATGATTCCCGACACAATGATTCACCTTACACTGCAATATTGGAGGACACATTACCGTCGTTATTCGAGGCTTTACTGTATTGGGATGCCTGAATGAGTTTTGACATAATCAGAATGATAAGGAGATAGTGAAAAGAAACTAGAGGAAAGACAAAAGGGAGAATAACTGGAGCAAGTGAAGAGAGAAAACCGGGAGTGTTTTAAAAAAATGAGAATGGCTAAAGGAGTGAAGGTGTTTCTGTGTGGTGTTGAAAGACTGTTTTTACGGAGATCAGTTCCAATATACAGTGAACCATCTATTTAACCGATTAGATGGAGAGGAAAGTCCGTTATATCGAGGGTCCATTAGACGTGAAACCTCCATCTAACAAACTTTATTGAGATGAAAGTCCATTATATTGAGAACCCGTTAGATGTGAAACCCCCGAGTCACGGATTTTATGGAGATGAGAAGAGCGAGAAGGAAAGAGAGAGATTTGGGAAGACCTGAATAATTACATAGAAAGCTTTCCAGTTGAGCATTTGTACAGTAATGGGTTAGAGCCAGGCATTGTGGCAGAGCTAAGGATTGAAAACAGAGCACTAGTGATAAAAATATATACTGACAAAGGATTGATAGGAAGGAATTCATGGTTTACAATGAAAGAAAAGAAAGAAAATTGCACATGGATGTGAGATAATGGAAAAGATAAAGAATTGTGAGACTAGTAAGTGTTGGACCATAAAAGACACTCAAATTGTTACCGTCACGCACAATTGCGAACACCAGCAACATGTGTAAGTGAAGATACAGGAAGAATAGAAAGAATAAGAGTGAGAGAGGAAGACGTGAAGAGACTGTTTACAACGAAGGATAGCTGACTAAACAGGCTGAAGGCTCGCAGCTGCCCATGAGACAGCCTGAGGGCAGACTACCGCCTTCTCCTGTAGAGGCAACATCTTCATTCTCGTCAACCAACATTTCTCCTGTAGGACATCGTATTTGTTCTCATTGGTCTAATTCTAGACTCGTAAAACGTGAGTGTGATTGTGAACTGTTGAATCCTCTGAGACCATTAAACGACTTTAATAATTGTAGTTATGTACTGTACAGTGATCATATTGTTCAAACTGTGTGTCCTGATGTACCAGCAGTTGTTACATGTGAGATGTAGTATTCAACAGGTTTTGACCGAATTATACTCATCGCGTCGCATCAACGTAGAAGGTCTTATTGTCCTGCGCAGCCACAATCACTTCTTTGAGCCATTACACATAATAAGTTTATAGAGCACCTGACCATTATACAGTATATACTTGGCAGATGTTCCATTAACAGAGAATATGATAAGGTTCAGGGTGAGAGAATCTACACAAGTAAGACAAAAATAAGAAAAGTTGAAAAGCTGAGGGAAAAGAATGTACAGTAACTTAAAAACGAAAAAAAAAAACAAGGTGGGTTCGGTACAAATAAAGGAGTCAGAAGGGAGAGTAGTTAAATAGAACAGGAACAGTTCCATGGTACAATGCTAAAAAGTGTCAGACAAGGTGTGTGGAAACAAGAAAATGGTTAGAAAAACCAAGAGGAGGGAACTCTGTATTAGGATGAGAAGTTATCAGTGCTTATTAAGTGGAGAAGGCTATCAGAAATACCGTATTTTTTTCTGAGTTTGTATCTTGGACGACCTCTGGAGTACGGTACTGTGCCTTGTTCTTCAATGTGGAACCTCAATTAGGAATGATGCCCTTCAAAATTATACTGATGAGTGAATTTCAATGTTCATCCACTGTATTCAGTAAGTGACCCAGATCCTGTATTTTTAGGTTAGGTTAGGTTAAGAATAATGCCCTTCAAAACTATATTGAGTGAGTCAGTGATCGTCTGTTTAACGTTTCTTGGTCTTTGCTGATCTTGTAACAAAAACTTCATCACCTTCCCTCATAACTCCAGCCAGGTCCAGCCCAAGATGAATGCCCAGGTGTGGCTCGTTGGGCTTCCCTAGACAGCGATACCTGTTGACCGTGAGAAAGAAAACTCGGACTCGTTAAAGAATCCTGTACAGTATTGGCTACCTGAGGCACTCCAGGTGGGAACAAAACAAGCAAGAAAGATGTGTTTCTTATGCCATTATACAGTAAACTTCAAACTTCCCCCTAAAATTTAACTGCATATTGTGGCACCTCATATGAAATTTACTGATTGAAAAAGAATACTCTGTTAGTACCTTTATTATAAAGCAATTTTAAAATACAGCATGCCCTTCAAATTCGCGGGGGTGAGGTTCTCAAAATGGCCGCGAATCGCCAAATCCGCGAATAACATTTGCTAACCTGGGAAGGGGGGGGTTGTACTTTTTCACTTGTGTGCAAAGAAATGTATATTCCCTTTATGTGTTTGCCCTTAGGACAATTATTTCTTTTACCTGTATTGTATATATGTGTGTGTAGACACACACACACACACAAAACACACAGTAAACCCTCCCGTTTGGCAACTACAGTAATTAGTGCCAAAAATCCTCACCAAACCCAGAATCACCAAACCAGAGGGCTTAATCCAATGGGAAAAAGCCGAATTGGGACCGAGGGATCACCCAAAGTCTCAATTTTTTCTTATTTTACCCACATATAACCTATATTTCATTGCTGAAAGAGAATGAATAATTAGTTAATCAACATAAACATAGAAAACCAACCTTAAAATTCAATTTGAGGTGCTTAATGTACACTAAGCTGGTATACGAGTACTTTTTCATTTTCTTCCCAACTCGATACTCATGAGAATTTTTCGTCTTTGTTTTTACCCATCATTTGAACCGCCTGGGTGCTAAGACTGTCTTTCACCACCACTATCATCCCCTCCAATACCCCCAGGTGCTTTTGAGGCCATTATTCGGCGCAAGAACACCGTGCCAAGCGAGAGGGAGTAAAAAATAAGGATACAAAGGCCAAGGTCACTCAAACAAGCAGCAGGAATGTGGATTGACGAGGTCAAAATGGCTGCCTGAACAGCTGACTGGCGCTTTGCGCTCGGTAAATATTCACCAATAATACTCATCAGTAGTATTAAGCGAGATTTATCTTGCACTTATTATTCTACAATTATTAGTTGCGATTGCATTTAAATTTAAACTCTCGCCAAATGTGAGGGTTTGGTCTCCATAACGGAGGGCAGAGTACTTTGAATTTTGACCGCCAACTTCGAATTCGCCAAACAGAAAGTCACCAAACTGGAGGATTTACTGTACAAATAAATAATAATGGGAAAATCCTCAGAAACAAATTTATTAAAAATGTGACAGTCTACCCCCAAGTCTACTCTGTGCTTTATTAATAACAAAGCACGGAGTAGACTTAAGGTTAGACTCACATTTTTAATAAATTTGTTTCTGATTATTGGTGAGAGGATTTTCCCATTATTATTTATGTGTACAGTACGTGTTTTGTGTGTGTGTGTGTGTGTGTGTGTGTGTCTACACACGTACACACACATACATGTACAGTATATATAATATAGGTAAAGGAAATTACGGTCTCTGAAATGAATGGCTCCCAGTCCCAGCCGCAAAAATACCGGCAACTTTAAAACTACCTGCAGACATTCTTGGGCACATCCAGGGTGTCATCCGCGAATAAAATAGGATGGCGAAATAAAAATCTCTGAATTATCCGGGCGTACTGTACAAGTTACTTCAACCTATACTAAATATCTCATCTATGTATATTATTGACTAACTATATACCATGCAATAGACTCCAGAAAAGTCACCATGTGTGTCTGTTGTTACATATAAGGTCAAAGACATATTGGGTTGTTTTCAAGTTGACTTATTTTCTGGAAATTATAAACTTTCTGCCTGTTTGATGCTTCTAATATACTGTGTGTGTGTCTGTATCATTACACTGTCAGTATATGTGATACTCAATTCATACACATTCTATTGAAGCACTTTCTCCTCCTTGAAGCTAAATTATAAATCTTCCATATAACACTCATAAGATACAGTACCCTTTTTTTTTTTTGCAATGCCAACTGTAGTAGCAACATCAAATATACATACAGATATGCTTATTACCACTCCAGTCATTTTAAGAGATGGTTTTGTTTTTGTAACAGCTAATGACAATTTGCACAAGTTAAAATTTTTAGTCTAGTGTAGTACATTTGAGTACAAAGTGTATACAGTAATGTTGCTCAAAATTATGTTTTTTCACATTTAATTTATATTTAATATTTGTTTAATTTAAGTTTCTAGCAGTCCATGGTGCTTTAGAGACATAGGAGGTTTATAATTAGTGGGTCAGAGGCGTATTGTTGAATCATTTTTACCTGACCTCGGTTGGTCAGGCAAAATGGATAATCCGGCAAGGCTTTGGAACCAAGGGTGCCGGAAAATCGGTGGTAGACCTGTACTAGCTTCTGCTAGCTGTTTATAGCTTCTGCACTCATTGTCATCCAAAAGTTAGCTGACAACCCCTGGACATATGTTAATGTTATAATGTATTGCTGAGCTTCAAAAATAAAGGTCTTCAAGCACTGAACTTGCCAGCATAATAAAGTCCAAAATTATGAGCAATAACAAAATATCTCGACACTAACGTCTTCAGAGTGCGCAGAGGTTCCTGGTTGCGATCTTTCTTGCCTGTCTTGGGGTCGACGGTAGTCAATATGCACCTGCAAAAATATACTGGACAGTCATAATCATCATAAATAAGACACTCTAAACACACTAAAAGCTCAATAATAACAAATGGATAGGTCAAAGCAAAGGGAATGAGAAGGAAAGAGAGATATTGGGATGACCTAAATAACCATACAGAACGCTTTAGTTTGAGTAAGCGAGTGTTATTGTCAGGCATTGTAGGAGAGCAAAGAATAAATGGAAAAACACAGTTAGTGAGAAAAATCTATTAGCATTGGCAAAAGTTATAGGTTGAAGAAAGAACAATAGATAAAAAAAATATTAACATACAAGACATACTGGTAGTTACATGAAGACACAAACCTCTCACACGGCTTGACATTTCGGTAAACAGCATCACCTATCATAACGTACTCCCAATCATCTTCATCGTAAGGTTCCTTAGTTCCGTCAATTAATATGTTTGGTCGAAAGTTATCTTCGTCTACCTTGCATTCCAGTCTGCTCTGAAGATCTGCAATACTTTCTGTTGTCATCAGCATGTAGCTCGTGAGATTGGCATAGAGGGGCTGGAAAAATAAACACATTCATTCTTAACTAGCAGAATGAGAGTACATATGTTTAGAGGAATGCTTTACTCAAGAGAACTGTTGAAACTAACATACCATTACAGTGGAGTCTGGATTTACGCGGTTTTGGTTAACGCGTTTGGTCATTTACGCAGTGCCTTGCCAGAATCGAAATGCTTTAATTACGCGGTAAATTTGGTCACTTACGCGGGTGAAGTATAATTTGTTTACTGTATTTACTGAAGATATTTGTTTTAGTTCATAAAATTCATACAAATTACCCAGCCAGAATATAATTTACATTGCTGGAATTCTGATAAGATTGTGATTATTTTAAATAGGTATAAACATCATAAAATTTGCATTAGTCATACAAACTTTAGATCTAATTTAAGAATTTTGATTAGAAAGAGCAAAAATTTTATCTTTTGTGCAAAATATATGACATTTATATTCAAAATATTCCTTGTCTTGCAAGGAATCCAGCAATGTCAATTATATTATCCTAACTTTAGTCTGAGGTATTATTTATTACTAAAATGTAAGCCTACTGTTTTCACCCAAACGTTTCTTTGATAGGGAGGGAAGGTGGGGGAAGGAAGGGAGGGAGGGAGGGACCCAGCGAGCGTGGGAAGAGGGGGGGGAGCGGGAGGTGGGGTATTTTGATTGACAGATAGTGTCCGGGTGAAGTAAAATTTGTTTATTACTGAAGATATTTGTTTTAGTTCATAAAATTCATACAAATTACCCAGACAGAATATAATATACATTGCTGGAATTCTTATAAGATTGTGATTATTTTAAATATAAACATCATAAAATTTGCATTAGACATACAAATTTTAGATCTAATTTAAGAATTTTGATTAGAAAGAGCAAAAATTTTATCTTTTGTGCAAAATATATGACGTTTAAATTCAAAATATTCCTTGCCTTGCAAGGAATCTAGCTATATCAATTATATTATCCTAACTTTAGTCTGAGGTATTATTTATTACGAAAAATGTAAGCCTACTGTTTTCACCCAAACATTTCTCAGAGAGGGAGGAGCCAGTGAGCGTGGGAAGAGGGGGGAGGGAGTTGAGTCCATTATTTGAATGGACATTAACTGGCGACTGTATTTCTCTAAAATATTAATTGTGTGCGCATACCACCATAAAATTAAGATGTTATTTTTACTACAACGTAGGTATTGTATCGGAAAAAGTGGAGTTTGGGGGTCGGCCCAGTCTCTATTTCAATTAATCCCATATGTTCTGTTATTTCATTTACGCGTTTCTCGTTTTACGCGGGCCTCCACAGGTTCAATTGACAGCGCAAATGCAGACTCCACTGTATATAAGCAGTATATCCATAAGATAATAATTAAGAGCAGTAATTTGCATGGCCAGGTGTTATTGCCTACACTGGGTCTATGACATGACTTTAAGCAGGATGTTATTTGGTCTGTGATGTTGACATGATTCCCAAGTTACTGTTCGAGAGGGAAGCGAGCAAGGACCCATTTTGTTATACCTGTACAGTAACTAGATCTGCACTTAATCACAAATGCTGTACTGTACAGTACTAGCTTCCTATGCTTCCTCTATTCATTAATTTTCTTTAGTATTTACATAACAACAATACTTGTAGGTTTAAGAACAGCAATACATAAAACATTAAGCTTAGGTATGATGACAAAGTGAAAAACTTAAAACCTGAACCAAACCAAAGGTATTATTAAGTAATCATCTGCACCAAATATTAAGAAAGTTTTACTACACCAAGGCCTGACATTCCCAGAGCCGGTGTATAAGTGGCGAGATGATGTCAAGATGAGGTCTGTTCTCAGTGAATTGGTTGTACAGTGACACATACATTGTCTTTTGGTTCTTCACTCATGAAACAAATCAATACCAAGGCCTTCTGATTCACACGTTAACCCAGCATCTGAGACTGAGTACAGTACAGGACCCTTACAACCCATAACATGGAGACAGGGTATTGCTGTCTTGGCTGAGCATTCCTAACTTAACCTTCATCTGTGCAAAAATGGAATGCAAGGAACATGATACATCCACTGATGATGACCACTGTCACTACAGTTAACATTCACTGATGATAGCCATCATTTTAAAGTTAATAATAAAATAATAAGTCTATTAAAATATATGTCTTGAATCCCTATTATATATGAAAATTATATATGGTTAGTCCTACACATAACCATCTTTATGTATAAAATTTGGGACCAGCATTATGTGAGGCACTGGGCAGCTGCCCCCCAAAAAAGAAGAAGTAGACAGACTTACATTATCATCATTCCTCATTAAAGGACAATCTTCCTCCTCTGTCATCCTGCTTGATGGAAGATCTCCATGATAGAGCAAATAGCATTTACATCCTAAAATTGTTTCAAGCCATCGGGATGAGTCTTCACCACAGTCTAAGCCTGAGCCTGGATGACCCCAAATACTAGAAGGTAAAAATTTTAATTAAGATTTGTAGAAGAAAACCAAAAATATCCCTACATACACAAGTACTACTTGTTTAGCAGAGAAAGAGTAGATGATAAGAAGTCATGAAGGAGAGACATGAAAACTAGCTTTATATAATCCCTAATTGTATTTTAAGCAGTTTCTGTCCCCTTTAATACACCAAGAGATAAAGACTATCTGATACATATAACTGAATGAAACATTAAATATCAAAATAATGATAGGCAAGAAGAGCTGTTTGTAAGTTGTTACATTAGGCCATAATACATAGAAAAATTATCCATGGAAGATTATGCAAGGTACTGTATAAAACATTTAGTGCAAGATTAAAAGTTAAGTTTCATAACAACAAAAGGCTGAGGGAAAGCTGTTATCCAAGATCTTAATTATCTCCACAAAACAAATTCATGTTATAAATTTGATGACAAGCAAGAGTGCAAAAGTTTCATAAAATGCCATTAAGTCATGCAAAGTTAAAACTAAAATACAGAAATACTTTAACATGTGACCTTTCGTGTATATCTTTAATGCAAATAAAAAATGTCAAGTGTAACCAAAAGATGACACAGGCACAATATTTCATCAAAGTTCAAGACAGATCAAGAGTGAAATATGGACAATTCGTTTTGACATGACTGAGACACTCAAGATTTTAAACAACCTAGAAGACTTGAAAAGAGAGAGAAAAAAATCAACCAAACCCAACACACACCAGGGGACATACTCACAATATACAATCAATCTGAATCAACTGGTAGTCATTTTAAACAGCTACACTGATGCTGGACAAAACTAGAGAACTTGGTGTATTCTCAGATGTCCCTTTATGGAGAGTGGTTAATTTGAACCAAATGCACCAGTCTTAATCCTGTAAGAACTCTGCATTATGCATATATCTGTCAAGTCAGCAAATGTCTAATGAGCTTTATAATATATCCCCTGTATAACTATTATACGATTTTGGTGATTTAATTTGTACTTTTCCAGGCCCTCAAGTCTTTGGCCAAATCCTTGGTCGAATCTTCCCCTTCTAAGGTACCAGATAACACCCATTGCATTGCTTGAAAGACAGAATTTTTAACCAAATACTATACAGTACTTGATAAGTCAGTGCTCACAATTTCCTTGTTTTCATGGAAACACAGTACTTCACAATTGGAAATTAGTGAATTAGCTAGTAGATAAACCTAAAGAGGCATCATGAATATTGGTGGCAAGATGTTCTACAATGCTGTCTCTTTAAGTAATGAACGGATGCTGATCATGCCAGCAGAAAAGCATGATGTTTAACTTTGACACATACAAGATCGACTAATACTCCTCTTTGACTTTAACCCAAGTACTGTTTACAAAACTGCCTAACTGGACTTTCTCTGTGTGCTAAAGAGACAATGGTAATCATGACGACAAAAAGCCACTTAATAACTACAGTATCTGTATTCCTCTAATGTCACCAATATAAAAACAAATCACAAAACTCACTCTAAAGTCATTTCCTTATTGTTTTCCTTCACCTGAGTGACATCAACTGTCAGGTCTTTTGCGCCAGGGAACTTTAGTGTTAAAATGTTGTCTTCAATACTGGATTGTATCAGCACCAAGGATGGTATCATGTTAGCTGTGACCATACTTCCCTTCTCAGTTCTAACTACAAAAGACCTGAAAAGAACAAAGTCTTTCATTTCCTGTTCATATAAAATTCTAATCACCATATTTAATTAGTCAAAAGGTACATTTCTTCCTATGAAACAAGAACTATAATGTTTGTTAACTAACCTGTCTCTAACTGTCCCATCCACTATACCCAGTGGCTCAGCCTTGACTGACTTGACGACAGTTCCACTACAGGATTTGACTGGATATATTATTATCTTGGTCACTTTGCCAGCAGACTCCCACTTCATGTTCTTCACTTCATCCCGGGTCCTGAAGGCATGATTAAAAATTAGGAATTGCATGAAGATCAGCCCTTCAGCTTATTTCACCTGATGATTAAAACACCCCTAATGCTACCTGGGGGGGTTAGGTTAGGCTGGAGTTTGGGTGGTTCATCGTAAGGTGAATTAAACTGGGGATTAATTTTCATGTGATCCCAAATGCAAATTTTCATATGCATGATATATTTTTGTTGAAAGGGAAAGCATGGATACAGCACGCTGTATACCAAGTCTTCAACACACAAGGAAGCAACATGGTTGGTACAGCACTTGACTTCATCCCCTTCCCCAAGTTGTAAACTTGGGTACACATTTACATCTGAGTGAACTGGGAGTGCCCAGGGAACGAACCACTGACCCCTGGAATAGGATGCGAGCACTGTATCCACTCAACCACCACATTCCATCAGGGAGTGCAAGAAAGCAAGACAAGATCTGACATACAGGTTTACTCAAAACAGGTACTATACTGGACGTATATACATCCACATAAAAGTATGATCAACTATAATTGAGTTACTTTTGAGTAGTGTATGATCAGCAATATCGCTTATCAGCGTTATGATCGAATTATTAATCACTAAAATTATCATTGGGTTGAAATTAAGTATCAAAAAGTAAGGAAAATAATTAATTTGAAATCATTAATCCCTAAAATCTAGGGATGGCCAATGTTAGTTGTCTGTCATGATGGTAACTTGGTAAGAATATCAGCAGCATACTTTCAATGGTTAAATAAATAATGCAGGCGGTGCTTATCAGCTCCAAAACGATCAATCACGAATTCAGGAAAGGTTTCTTTCTATCAAACATTTTTTTACTTACTTTACTTTTATCCTCTTCACCACTCATAGGGCTCGTTAGCCACTTGGGCGATCGGTCACATCTCTGTCACGCACTGTTGGCAAGTACTGGGCATGCACCGGCTCCTGAATGTACCTGAACCTGCTCCAGTGTTGGTCAAATCTAGTCTTGAAAGAGCTCACACTCGGTGCCGTCACAACACTTTCTGGTAGATTCTTCCAAGAGTTCACAACTCTCACTCCGAAAAAGTTTGCCCTCACAGTTTTCTGGACCTGTGGCTTCTTCAGTCTTGAGCTGTGACCCCTTGTGGGGTGAGCGTCTGCCAACTCCAGTTAAGGACACTCGGTTGAGTAGTGCCCCACGAGATGCTTATACACTTCAATTAGGTTGCCCCTTACCCGTCTGTAGTATAACCTAGGCAAGTTCAGGCGCTCCAATCTCTCAGGGTAGTTGAGGTGCCGAAGTGCAGGCACCAGTCTGGTGGCCCTCCTTTGAACATTTTCAACCAACTGACAGTCCCTAGCATATCTCGGGGACCAGACGGGGTGACAGTACTCCACATGGGGAAGCCCTTCACTCATGAAGATCGTTACGAGGGACGGACCGTCTAGATATCTGAACAACCTTCTTATAAGACCCAATAATATATTTGCCTGATTTACCTTCTTCTCGCAATGGCCCGAGAACTTTAGCTCATTGTCAACATACACACCTAGGTCCTTCTCACATTCAGTCTCAAATAGTGCAGTTTCTTCATCCTGTTGGGACATATGATACACCTCCTTACCGTTGGTACGCCCCAGGTGCATCCTCTTATACTACGTGACATTGAATCTCAGCAGCCATTTCTTTGACCATTTTGGAGCTCACAGTGATCCTTCTGCAGCTCTTCACAGTCCACTTGTTTCTTTATTTCCCGAAATAACTTGGCGTCATCGGCAAACATTTGTATGGAAGAGTGTACAACATCAGGCATGTCATTTATGAAACAAAACAAACAAAAGCGGGCCCAATACACTGCTCTGTGGTACCCCGCTTGTGACAGGTACAAATAATGATTTCATGCCATTCATCACCACACACTGCTTGCGGTCATATAGAAAGTCTTCTATCCACGCTAGAACCCTCCCCCGAATTCCATACCCTTCCAGTTTGATTTTCAACCTTTCGTGGGGTACACTGTCGAATGCCTTGGCAAAATCTAGGCATATGTTGTCGATATTACTACCCCGTTCCAGAATATGGGTCAAAATATTCAATACCTTGAGCAATTGTGTTAAGCAGGAGCGCCCCGGCATAAAACCGTGTTGGCAATCCTTTACAAAGTAGGTTTCCTCGTAGATGTTCCACCGCGGCATCTCTGATAATACTCTCAAGTACTTTACATATTATGCTGGTCAGGCTCGCCGGTCTATAGTTGTTCGTGGAGTGACGATCACCCTTCTAGAAGATAGGACTCACATAAGCCACTTTCCAATCACTGGGGACCTTTTGTTCAACCAGGCATTTACAAAACAGGATCTTCAGGGGCTCGGCAAGCTCGTTGCACAACTCTCTTAGCACTCTGGGATGCACCATGTCAGGGCCAGGAATCTCATGGACCTTTAGCTTTGACAGTTTATTTCTAATGCCCTCTAGTGTGAACACAATGTGGGCCAGTGCTGTGTCGAACAGTCTGTCCTCAATCACAGGAAGGTTAATCGTATCCTCTCTTGTGAACACCGAGGAAAAGAAGCTGTTCAATGCCTCAGCTTTATCCTTGTCAGAATCTGCATAACTACCATCTTCAAGCCTCAGGTCTGATACTCCTACCCGCATTTTTAATTTTGACTTTGCATTGCAGTAAAACGCCTTTGGGTTTGACTTGACCTCGCTTGCAACCAGCCTCTGGAACTCCTTTTTAGCCCTTCTACACTCTCCCCTTGCTTGATTTCTGGCTCTTGCATACAACCTCCTGTTCTGCTCATCGTTTGACCCAACCCACGTCTTGAATTTCTGGGTTTTCTTCTTAACTTTGTCGACCACCGCATGATTCATGTGTAGAGATCCCCTCGTATTCCTAGAGGCACTGGGTTTGGTCTTGGGTATATACAGTATTTATCGATCAAATGGGTCACTTTACGAGTTATGATATTCAGCGTAGTGTCTGCGCTCTTGTGCCTTAATGAGTCAGGCCAGTGGATACCCCTCATCTCTTCCCTCATCCCGCTATAGTTTCCCTTGTAATATTTGCACCTTTGCCTGGCCTTATCTTGAACCAGGTAACAGTTAAATCTGAATGACAACACTATATGGTGACTGGTGCCAACTGGGGCAAGGTGTTCCAGTTTGGCCACCATACCCTCCTCGTTTGTTATGATGAGGTCTAGTGGCTTGGGTGTTTGCTCCCCACTGTAATGTGTCGGTGGTCTCTAACATGTTGGAACAGAAAATTATCTCTCAGAATTTCTACAAAAAGAGTAGCAGGGTTATTCAAGTCATTTGGGGTGAACTCATTTCTCCAGTCGATGTCGCCAAAGTTAGTGTCCCCCATGATAAGGAAGTGGCTAGGGTTGAGCAACGCTGCATTGTCTATTAAGGCTCTTAAGTGTTCAATTGACAATGATAAATACAATCAAAGGCATGTCTTGACACATCTCACTGTGCTAAATGACCGCTCTACTAATTTCACAAGTGGAGGCTGGAAGTGTGAATATCAGTAGGTTGCACTGAAAACATATGCGTTTTTTTCTGCTAATGTTGACGCTGTGCCCACATTTCGAACCAGGACTGCGACTTCAATCAAAATTATTATTTATGTGTTTATCATTTAACTGTGCCTTTTTTCCTATATTCATCAACCATTGGATCTATTCTCACATTTCCACTACAACTTGGTTTTACAAGTAATATGCTTGGTATACAAGAACTCATTGTAGCAGATTTTTTAAGCATGCTTATAACTCAATAATTTCCATAGCAGTAAGCATAAATAAAAATACTGTACGTATATAAAAAAATTATCCCCAACGGTACCGAGCTCAGAGATTTCAACTATACAGTACGTATTTCTTTTGCTCGTATTTTCATTCATAAATAATAATTTTAACGAATATTATAGTGTTTATAATTATGTATAGTAATGTACTAAACAAATTGTGCAGTTACCTAAATATCATACATTACTAGTTATTACAAATAAAACAAAAGTTGTTACAATATGAAAAGTACAGAATTTCACTAAAATTGCAAATTTAACTAACTATAAACTAATGCATAGTCAGTTTTGATGACAAGTGGTCACGGCTTCATCATGACCTAACACCAGGTACACATGGTTTCACTGTGATGTCGACATCATAACGGTCTTACCTGAATCGGCTAACCAGGCCTAGCCACCAGAGGAATTGTAAAAAATACCTGCTTACCACAAGTGTCCATTGTGGGAACGTTAATGAACAAACAGTTCACTCGAAAACTTGTAATATAATACACATATCATGAACAAGGACTGCAGAAAAAAGAAAATTTCTAGGGTGTTGCAAGTGCACCCCCTTGCAGACACCCATGTCCATCACTGTGTTGTTACATATACTGTAGTACTACTGTATATAATACAATATGTGAATGTGAACAACATCTTAATCTTTATCAAACTATGAATCCCAATCTAGGTCACATTACAGAGTACTGGGTTGGCATTCAAGTCATTTTATATACAGTACTGTATTGTACAGCTTCTCCCCGACTTACGACAGGGTTCGGGACCCAAAACCAGGTCGTAAGTCAAAATTGTCGTAAGTCAAAAATGCTTAAATAATACGTAGAAAATCTAAAATGGGTATCTCTTTTACTTCTCAGCACCACATTTAAGCTTGCCAGCCATTTTAAAGTGAATTACAAATGAAAATTTTGTCTGTGTACTGACGTTGGGAGTCAAAAATACTTAATTTGATAAAATTTTGGTACGACCGAGGCAGGTCGTAAGTGTGGGTGGTCGTAAGTCGAGTAGGTCGTAAGTCGGGGAGGAGCTGTACTGGGTATACTGTATGTATTTTTATTATTATCAATTTCACAGTTTTATCAATTTACTTCTTATCTGCACTTCATTCCACAAAGGACTCCCACAGGATTAGCCCCCAGCTTATTTCACATGATGATTAAACACCCTAATACAGTAGAAGTCCAAAAATCCGGACTGCTTGGGGATTGGGTCGGTCCGGATTTTCGGATTTTCCGGATTCTCAGGTAGTACTTTTAAAATTCAAATTTAAGGAGGAATAAAGAAGAGATGAACAGGTACATTTTGATAGTTTATTCATTAGCAAATATAGCATGCTTCATTTATCAAAATGAGCAGTTTTAAAGAAAAAGCTGTGAATTCTAGAATTTTATTCTTTGCCTTTTTTATATCATAAATTGTAGACTTTCCATTGTCGTATGTTTCCATTAGAACAGTATTGCTCACACCACGTTCTAGTTTCTTAATTATTTCATGTTTGTCACTCAATTTCAACGTGTTATTCTTTCTCTTCACACAACAAAGTTTATCTAGTTTAGGAGCCATTATTATGGGCTTGTACAGTACTCTGTAAATGGAAAGAGTAGGACTGAAAATTACATACGTTTTCACAGTTTGATTGCTCATTTTAAAGTGGCGACCGCATGGTCGCCTGTTGTAGCTGTGCAGCTGTGACGCTCATGCATGCGCACATACACACAAAAGCCAGCTAATTTAAAAAAATAATAATAATTGAGTTTTTGAAAAGTCCGGGTTCTCGGGTGGTCCGGATTTCTAGACATTTACTGTATTGTACTATGTTAAGGTCAGTTAACATTAGTTTAGGTTCAGTTAGCATTAGGGTGGTTAATCTTAAGGTGAAATAAACTGGGGGGGCTACTCTTCAAAATATCTGATGGAATTTATTGAGTTTACATAAGCTGGGGCTACTTTTCAAATGATACGATGGAATTTATTGAGCTTGCTTCAATCACAGATGGAGATACTGTTCTAACATTAACGATATCTTAATAAAGAATCAATGCTTAAAAGACTTACTTGTGGGCAACCATAATGATCTTTTCGCGAGGCCTCCTGGCGATGACCCAGTAAATTGAGGTTAACAGAATGACAGTGAGAGTGAGGAGTGGAATGATGATCATGTTTCCTGTTTACTCCACAACCATTTACAAATATCCCCTGCAAAATGAAAGTGTTAATTAGATGAAGAAGCTCCTCACATGTTATCTTATCTGGTCCTTATACAATATATTAGTAATACTGTAGTTACATATAATGTTTATGTAAAAATCACAAGACAAAGAAAGGTACATGGTTACCTCCTACAAGACAGTAACAAAGTAAATTATTAATGTACAGTACTGTATGTATACTGTACAGTATTGTCTACTGGTCAATGGCAATTTTACAAATAGAGTACTGTGGAGCAATAACAAGTGTACCTCTCACTATTGCACTACAGCTGAAGACATGGGTACGAAGTCTGCCAAAGGCTTGAGATGCACATCTGATCCGATGTTGAATCTCTTCATATATGTCCGCAGTGGTGGACAGGTGGGGGCCAAGATACTGATAGTGGGTAACATTAGAGACGGTAGTACCATTAAGCTGGATGGATGGTGGAGGTATGGCTGAACTACGATTGGATAGACCGCCCAAGCTGCAAGCGAGCTGATAACTGGCAAAAATTATGTAAAATAGAGTGAGGTGTTTCCCGCCTGGTCCCCGTGATATGCTAAAGACTGTCAGTTGATTGAAAACGTCCAAAGGACGGCCACCAAACTGGTGCCTGCTCTATGGCACCTCAGCTAGCCTAAGGGATTAGGACAAATGCAACTGCCTAGCTTATACTATAGACACTCAAAGGGTGATCTAATTGAAGTTTATAAAAATCTCGGAGGGCACTAACCGCACTACTCAGTTGAGTGTTCATACCTGGGGCTGGTGGATGATTGCCCCACAAGAGGTCACCGCTCAACGTTGATGAAGCTAAGTCCATAAAACTGTGAGGTAAAATGGTTAATAATTATTAGTTGCCACAACCAAACTGAATATTGAGTCATGGGGAGATAGAGAAAAACTAAAAATAATTTATTCAATAATCTTTCCATCGGAAATCTATAGTTTTCAAGTTATTCTAACTTTTATTTGATAATATTTGGCCACTCAGTGTTAGTGTTGATGTGATGGCATAGTCGTGCGCGCCAATCAGCATGAGTGCCGAAGTGACATAATACACGAGCACCAATCAGCACAAGTCTCGATTTGCGGGCAGTTGGGAAATGGCATCTTGGTAATTATTGGTTACTGACCCGTGGCTGATCTTCCATAGAAAACGATTATAAAAATGCCGCAATTTCACTGTTTTTTATAGTGGACTGTCATAGTTTGTGCAAAGGTGTTAAAAAATGGTTATTTCTAAATTAAACCTAACCTAACCCTAGTTGATAAGAAAAACAAGAAGCTGAAGCATTGTTAGAAGACCTCATCAACCTAACCAAACAAACCTACCTAACTTTCTAGCCAAGCCCCATGGATCCCACGGTATATCAAACAGAAAGAACTTACTATGATATGGTGTAATTGTACGAACGGTTTATAAACATACATGAAGCATCGGCGTAGATCTAGCCTAGGCGGTGGAGTGTTTTGAAATACGTCAATACGATTGGCTGTTTACATCCTGAGATGAGACTTCACCGCCGCATTACCACCGAGAAGACAAAGTAGTGCACGCCTAGGTGCCTAATTGTCTACCAAATGAAGCATTTGCACAAGAAATGATTACCATATCAGAATTCAATGATGAAAATAAAGTAAGAAAATAAACAGTAAAACAAATAACTCGTCCGTGAGTCAATCATCAATATTAGCTGGCATCTGTGTGTTAAGGGTGTACAGTGGCTGACTGTTGTATTATTCACCATGTTTTGGACAACGATGGAGCAGTCGTTGACATTTTTAGGGATAATTGTGTTTTTGTTTCATATGTAAAGTGTCCAAGACGTAATTCAGAGTGTCAGTACTGTGTAGATTTCCATGCATGGTACTGTGGTAAGAGACGGACACTGACGAAGACACCACTTCCTCATTCAAGTTGCATCACTCTATCTTCCTGTATCCCTTACTTAAAGTAAGTTTCTTACACACTAGAGGTTAGGTTAGGTGAGGTTAGTTTTTTGAGGTTTTTATGTTATTTGACCTTCAATTTTTTCTTCAATACTACTGATCATTTCCAATGGCAATGGCAGTCATATCTGTATTTAACACAATGATTTACAATATAAAAACCCATTTTCCAAAGTATATTGGGTGGTGGCAACAACTAAATATTTACCGGAGTGAGAATTGTGAATTCTTGGAACAAAATGCCAAAGTGTGTTGTGGAACCAAGTATGACTTCTTTTAAGAGCAGACCTGACCAACACTGGTGCAGGTACAGATACATTTAGAAGACAGTACATGCCCAGTACTTGCCAACAGTGCATAACAGGGTCATGACCAACTGCCCAAGCAGATAGCGAGCCAATCAGTGACGAAGATGATAAAAGAAAAAAGTAAAACTCAAGTGTTCAGTGGTTCGTTCTTAAAAAAATCAGTCATGGGTAACTGATGATTCCATTTTCAGTCACCATAGTATGGCTAAGTCCAAAAGGTCACAGGCACCTATTTGATGCATCTCTATCAAAATCAAAGTTATTGACTCCCTGTTCCACCGTGGTGGCCACTTAACGAGGGTTGGATGGATGAGTTAGGATAGCAGAGGTTAGGTTAGAATCTTTCAATAGGAGATTCTGATATATTAGTGAAGATCTTGTAAAAATACAATTCCAACACATAAAGTATAGCAAAAACAGTCATACTAGTTCACAACAATTCAGTAAACAATAACAAACCCGCAAAAAAAATATACAGTATATTTGTGATTTCAGTTATGACTACTTTTATATATGTATACTATCCATAAACTACAAGGCAATAACGGTTTTGTACCACCTCTGAGCTAAACTGAACTGAACCTTTACTTATCTAACTTAATTCCATCATTCCAAATAAGAATTGTTACACAAGACCAGTTATACATAATTGACTCCTATACTTGTTTATGAGTGACTGTTAACCCTTTATATGGTAAAGGATTCCTTAGGTATATTTTCTACTGGCAAAGTACAGATACATTCAGATACAATTTCGAGCCAGTACATGCCCAGGACTTGCCAACAGCACATAACAGCGATGTAACCCTGTGACTGAAATCATTTATACTAACTAGCAATGGTAAACGGAAATAAAGTCAAAGAAAAAAGTCACAGGACTTGTACACAATGACAACACAATATATATATATATATATATATATATATATATATATATATATATATATATATATATATATATATTTATATATATATTTATATATATATATGATGGCATTGCACGTATGTTATGTTATGTTAGGTTAGGTTAGGTTAGGTTAGGTCTTTCCGTGCCTTTTTTGTGAATTATTCCTTGTGACTTTTTTTCCTAACCTTCGCTAATTAAAATTAATTTCCCTTTCATGTTTCCAGGTGAAGGTGTCATAATCATGTGACCACAGCCACCACCCTGATGGCTGTCACCCACTGATTCATTGATTATATTAACCGATTAGTGATGAAGAGGATAAAAGAATAACGAGTAGTCTTAAGAAAGTATAACTGCAGTTTCAAACAATATGGATCTCGAGTTGAGTAATGTGGTTTTTTTCCGGTTTTAGGTCCCTTGTGACGGAAACGTCATAGATGAAAAGCGTCTTATAAGTGTCTAAGCCATCGGAAAAACTCATTGCTCAACTACTTGGGGTATTGTCTGAAACTGCAGTTTTATCCTTACGAATGAATATGAGGGATTGGTTAATTACATATTTTATGATTAAGACGAAGAGGCTATCAAGATGAGTAACAGACGACTACCCCTATTATTATTATTATTATTACATTACTATTTTATTATTTTTATTGTTTCACTATTATTATTATTATCATTATTATTATTATTATTACTGATCTCGTCATTTTATTAGTTATTGTTGATAAGGTTATATACTTTTTTTCATCGTTCACGGGATAACAAGATCAATTCGGAGAAGTCTACGTTATTGGTGATAATAAATCTGGATCGGATTAGAGGAAGTGGCCAGCTGGAGCCTGTTATTAAACACAATTTTTACCACTATGGAGGGATCTGTGTTAATATTGGCAAATTAACACTTACTTGGGTAATGTCTGGGAACAACACTTCCGCGAGAAGGAGGTATTCGATGTCGTTCATTTTTTTCCACAGATGTTCTTTGGGTGGGTGATAGTAAGTAATAAAAACGATACACATGATTCTCAAACTGGGGTTCGCGAATTCCCAGTGTCTAATTATGTCCTCGACTATAAATTGACCAAACCATAGTCCAGGTGCCCAAGAACTCTAGGCCACAGTGGCACAGCCCCTAATACCCTAGTCCAGGGGGCCAAGATCTCTAGACCACGCTAGATTCAAACTGAGCAAACTACACCTGCCAAACGAACACCATTAAAATCAAACACACACACACGCATATATATATATATATATATATATATATATATATATATATATATATATATATATATATATATATATGCAAGTAAATCACTGTAGGTGCGCGTGATCTAGGTACAGTATATGCTGATAACCACAAGGAAAGAAGAAAACACGAATATCTTTACCTGTCTTACTGTTACCTGTTTTACTTAGGCCAGACAGGTAAAGATCTTGCAACTAGAATTAAACAACACAAATACAGTGTTAGGACAGGCCAGGAATCCAATGCTCTGTTTGTTCATTTGAGGGATAACAAGCATTGCATTGACTGGGATAATGCCTCCTCAATATTACCATGTAATTCAATTGATAGTAGGAACATCATAGAATCTAGTCTTATTAAACATACCGAAGCATTCAACATGAATTTGAGTAACGGCATGTACAAGCTGGACAATTTTGTAATTAAGAAGATTTGTGATCAGGTGAGAAGGCCGGGTCACTTGACCATCTGACCTGACCACCAACCGTTGTGTGCTATTTAAAGATTAGTAGGGTCATTACCTAATACCTGACCATTGTGGACCTGGTCTCACCCTCCTCTGTATATATACACCTTGATTTGTATTACTCTCTAGTCTGTACTCACCCCTGAAGATGTGAATTACACGAAAGCGCTTGGGAACTTCGTGTTTTCTTCTTTCCTTGTGGTTATCAGCATATATATATATATATATATATATATATATATATATATATATATATATATATATATATATATATATATATATATATATATATATATGTAGTATATTATTACTTTTACTTACTTTTATCCTCTTCACCACTGATCTGCTCGTTAGCCGCTTGGGCGATCGGTCATTGGAGGAAGGTGTCTGACTTGCACTGGTCCCAGACTCCCAGCCCAGATTGGTGGTCACTTGTAATGAGTGACGTGGAGACACGCGACCAAGGAAGATAGAGCAAGGAAGCTCAACTCCCTTTAACTTGTCATCTGGCGCTGACGGATATAACTTAGACAGTATTCATAGAAAACGAAAGATGCCGTATTGTGGGTTAACTATACTAACCTTGACGTATTTATATATATTTATTTATTTAAACTTCATTTATTCATTGATGAAGAAAACCTAACCTCATTATCATTTGTAAAACGTTATTCATTCCAAAATGACTGAAATTACTGTCTCCAGTATTTTTTTCACGGTTAAACACATTTTCTACAACATCACTATTGTAGAGGTATCGTAGTGGATTTCTCCCCTACAAACGCTGTTTGTCGCTGAGTAGCCGATCCCGCGAATTCCCCAGTGTATGCCTCGTGGTCTGGGTCAACCAGCGCCGCCTTACATGACGGAGGTCAACTATTAAGCCACGCCTACCTCCGCTATTTAAGACCTGACCTCGTGGTGACCACTCTCTTTCTACCTACACCAACCAGCCAACAACACCTCCTCCTCCTCCGCCTGCCTGGCCGTCCTCGCTCCCGCCGGCGAGCATGGCGACCCACAAGTTGCCCTCCTCTGAGCATCCTCACCAACCAACTCTCTTCTTCTAGCTACAGCCGCAGCCAACACCACCTCCTCCTCCTCCGCCTGCCTGGCGGTCCTCGCTCCCGCCGGTGAGCATCCTCACCAACCAGCTCTCTCTACATCACGCTTGTAACCACGCTGCCACTTCCCAGCACCAAGCTACATTGTACATCCAATACAATATGTATACAGTGAGCACATTGTGAGTTTCCTTTCTCCATCCCATCCTGTGTGCGAACCCAAACATTATATAAAGTAACAATAATAAGTAATACAGAAAAGGCTGATTCACTATAACAATCTAATCCATGTACCTAACCTAACATACGTGTAATGCCACCATTCATCGAATATAAATTGTGTTGTCAATGTGTATGTTATCGCCTTCCCCAAACAAACATTGGATCTCCCAGCACCCCCCCAATGTGTATGTTATCGCCTTCCCCAAACAAACATTGGATCTCTTTCCCCCACGCGGCCTGTTGCCTCGTGAGATGTGGCGGCTGGGGGAGGGGGGGATGTTCACAGATGAAGAGTTCTTGATTCTCCTGACTGTAAGGTCTAAAGGGTGACGTGGCTCTCATGACACAGATTGCCCTCTCGAGTGATATTCCCCCCCCCCACGCGACCTGTGACCTCGCCAGATGCGGCGGGAAAGTTTACCAATTGTAGGGTATCGAGATATTAATGTTGTCTAGCACTCAGGATGGAAGGAAACTCTAATGTGGTTTTCTTATATAATATAAGTTATATGATAGACAGTCTGGTGCTGGAGGTGCCGTGTGGTGAGGAGCTGCTCAGTAGAGACGTTCGGTGAGTAGCGTGTTGAAGGAGGTAGATGTGCAGGAGCTTCGTTAGAGAAGATGTTGCCTGTTGCTGGCCTCCTGGTTGAATGAATGCTGACAGCGTGGAGCTTGCTGGAGGAGGTGTTGCTTGTTCAGGAAGATGGGCAGAATGAGAGTTGGTTGGTGAGGAAGCTCAGAGAAGGACAGCTGGTGGGTCGCCATGCTCGCTGGCGGGAGCGAGGACCGCCAGGCAGGCGAGGAGAAGCGAGGGCAGCCAGGCAGCGGCGGAGGAGGAGGTGTTGCTTGTTCAAGAAGAATGGTCAGAATGAATCTCAATGGAGAGACAGAGCTTATATACCCAGCAGCCGCTATGAGTCATGTTGGGAAAACCCAGAAAGTCGCCGGTTCCTGGTTCCGTTGCTAAGATACGGTAACATCTGGTTGGTTGCTAGGGAAGGCAGTAGCAGGTGGTGGCTGTGGCTACGCAGTTGTAGGCAGTTGTAGGGGAGACGTCCACTACAATACTCCCCCTTCCCTCCAGGCGGTGTAGGAGACTTGTTGTCTGTAGAGTTGCTTAGCACATGTGAGGCAGACCGGGCGGTGCATGCCTCATGTGAGACAACGGCGATGGCGTGATGAGCCGATCGCTGAAATACAACTGTCTAGATACACACTATCTGTGGGAGAAGGGAGAAAAAGGGTGTGTGGAGGCGATGAATGTTGTGCTTCCCTCACGACAGGTACAGGGTCGTCAGATGCGCCTGCTGGGGTGTGTGTGGGCCTGGGTCAGGAGCAGGGGCTGCGTCAGCAGAAGCGGATTAGGGCTCGTGACAGCAGCTGGGTCCACGACAGCAGCAGGGTGCAGGACATTAGCAGGGAGTACCTGAGGGAGAAAAGAGGGGGTGTGGAGGCGATGGATGTTGTGTGCTTCCCTCACGGCAGGTACTGAGTCGTCAGATGCGCCTGCTGGGGTGTGTGGGCCTGGGTCAGCGTCTGAGGCAGGACGGGTGTGCTGGGGTCGTCAGAATGTGGTGCGTGGGGCAGGAAGAGGAGCCGGTGTCTGCTTGAAGACTGGGAGCGTGATCAGTGTCTCCTCCATCCTGTGTGAGTGCTAATCTCCGGGAGTCACCATTTGTAGGGGTATCGAGATATTAATGTTGTCTAGCACTCAGGATGGAAGGAAACTCTAATGTGGTTTTCTTGTATAATATAAGTTATATGATAGACAGTCTGGTGCTGGAGGTGCCGTGTGGTGAGGAGCTGCTCAGTAGAGACGTTCGGTGAGTAGCGTGTTGAAGGAGGTAGATGTGCAGGAGCTTCGTTAGAGAAGATGTTGCCTGTTGCTGGCCTCCTGGTTGAATGAATGCTGACAGCGTGGAGCTTGCTGGAGGAGGTGTTGCTTGTTCAGGAAGATGGGCAGAATGAGAGCTGGTTGGTGAGGAAGCTCAGAGAAGGACAGCTGGTGGGTCGCCATGCTCGCTGGCGGGAGCGAGGACCGCCAGGCAGGCGGAGGAGAGGCGAGGGCAGCCAGGCAGCGGCGGAGGAGGAGGTGTTGCTTGTTCAAGAAGAATGGTCAGAATGAATCTCAATGGAGAGACAGAGCTTATATACCCAGCAGCCGCTATGAGTCATGTTGGGAAAACCCGAGAAGTCGCCGGTCACTAGTTTCGTTGCTAGGATACGGTAACATCTGGTTGGTTGCTAGGGAAGGCGGTAGCAGGTGGTGGCTGTGGCTACGCAGTTGTAGGCAGTTGTAGGGGAGACGTCCACTACAATACTCCCCCTTCCCTCCAGGCGGTGTAGGAGACTTGTTGTCTGTAGAGTTGCTTAGCACATGTGAGGCAGACCGGGCGGTGCATGCCTCATGTGAGACAATGGCGATGGCGTGATGAGCCGATCGCTGAAATACAACTGTCTAGATACACACTATCTGTGGGAGAAGGGAGAAAAAGGGTGTGTGGAGGCGATGAATGTTGTGCTTCCCTCACGACAGGTACAGGGTCGTCAGATGCGCCTGCTGGGGTGTGTGTGGGCCTGGGTCAGGAGCAGGGGCTGCGTCAGCAGAAGCGGATTAGGGCTCGTGACAGCAGCTGGGTCCACGACAGCAGCAGGGTGCAGGACATTAGCAGGGAGTACCTGAGGGAGAAAAGAGGGGGTGTGGAGGCGATGGATGTTGTGTGCTTCCCTCACGGCAGGTACTGAGTCGTCAGATGCGCCTGCTGGGTGTGTGTGGGCCTGGGTCAGCGTCTGAGGCAGGACGGGTGTGCTGGGGTCGTAGGATGTGGTGCTTGGGGCAGGAAGAGGAGCCGGTGTCTGCTTGAAGACTGGGAGCGTGATCAGTGTCTCCTCCATCCTGTGTGAGTGCTAATCTCCGGGGGTCACCATTGTAGGGGTATCGAGATATTAATGTTGTCTAGCACTCAGGATGGAAGGAAAATCTAATGTGGTTTTCTTATATAATATAAGTTATATGATAGACAGTCTGGTGCTGGAGATGCCGTGTGGTGAGGAGCTGCTCAGTAGAGACGTTCGGTGAGTAGCGTGTTGAAGGAGGTAGATGTGCAGGAGCTTCGTTAGAGAAGATGTTGCCTGTTGCTGGCCTCCTGGTTGAATGAATGCTGACAGCGTGGAGCTT